GCGTTGAATCATTTCAGCATGAATTGCTTTATTTGTGGCCAAGCCATCCAGACGAGTTTGCTAAAAAGAAAATTGGAAATTTAATTAGAATAGATTACAACAACAAGTGTTTAATATAAAGAAGTCTATATTTTTTCCAAAGAAATTATTATGAATGGTAATTATTCGGAGAATAATATTTGAAAGCCAAAATCAAATGTTTTCTTTTTGTTGTATAATAAATCCAGTAACTTTTTTGGTTAAGAAGATTTTCAATAATAATTTTTTTCTCAAAAAGAAAAAAAATCAATTCTATCGAATTTCAAACATTCCCTGTAAATGTTTATTTTATTTAAAAGGATTTTAGCACAATCATCTTAATTTTTTTTATTTTTAAATGCTGTGCTAAAGAAATTTCAGATTTGTTTTTCTTTTATTATATTCCAAGTAAATTCTTTACACAAAAAGGACTGAGGAGGTTAAAACCATTTTGTTGTTGTCCACTTAAACAAATAATGCAATTTAACATTTACTAAAATAAAATAAAATCAGTAAGGAAAGTACTAAAGGTCGGACTGGGCCAACTATATGATACCCTCAAAGATACGAAAATCCCCACAAATAAAAATACAGAAAAAACACAAAATTTCTGTAAATACACTTGTCATGAGCGAACAAATATATAAAAGATGTTGTTAGAAATACTTCAACGTACAAAACATTCAATTATAGTAGCTTCAGCACATTGTACGAAATTGTGTGCCGGTCGGCCAAACTTTGGGTCTTCAGTGCAAAATTTACATTAAATCGGACGAAAATATATATGGGAGCTAAATCTAAATCGGAAGCGATTTTCACGAAACTTAACACACATCATTCAGGGCCTAATTCAGTACCCTGCCTAATTTCGTGCAAATAGAAAGATATGTAGGGACTTTGGTGCCTCATTTACCTTAAATTGGACGAAAATATATATGGGTGCTAGATATTAATCTGACCCGATTTTCACAAAATTTGGCACACGTCATTCTAGACTCAATTGAGTATACCATGCAAAATTTCGCGCATTCACATAAAATCATATAATTCAGTACACTATGCCAAATTTCGTGCAAATCGAAAGATATGTAAGGACTTTGGTACCCCATTTATATCTATATCTAAATCTGAACTGATCTTCTTGAAACTTGACACACATCATTCTAGACTCAATTCAGTATACTACGCAAAATTTCGTGCAAATCGAATGATATATAGGGGCTTTGGTGCACCATTTTCATAAAATCGGACAAAACTATATATGGGAGCTATATCTAAATCTGAACCGATTTTCTCGAACCTTAGCACACATCATTCTGCACCTAATTCAGAACTTTATGCCAAATTTCATGCAAATCGAAAGATATATAGGGACTTTGGTGCCCCATTTTCCTTAAATCGGACGAAAGTATATACGGGAGCTATATCTAAATCTGAACCGATTTTCTTCAATTTCCATTGGGTTCGTAATTGGCCAAATAAGTGAGCTGTGCCAAATTTCATCCAAATCGGATAATAAATGACCTGTACTTTGTTTACAATTTAACATCTACAGACGGACAGACATGCATAAATCGACTCAGAAAGTGATTCTCTGCATATTCTCAAAAGGAACAATGTGTCTATCTCGTTTCCTTTTGCCTGTTACAAATATATGCACAGAGACATAATACCCTGTACCACAGTGTGGTGAACGGTATAAAAAGAATCAATGCTTATTGGTCCCAAAATCCTACAAAAATCCGCGCATGTAAATAATAAAACTTCCTTTAATAAAATCGTTTAGAATTCCAAACTTAAACAGATGATCATTAAAAAATATTGAAATATCCACTCATGCAGCTCTGTTGGTCCCTAAAAAATGATTTTAAAAATTTCGCTTAAGTTGTCAATAGACCAATAGTTTTAAATCCATGCTTATAGCTCAGTTATCCCCTCAGAAAAGATTTTTTTAAATAAAATTTAGTTTTTAGTTCAGATAGTCCCCTAGAAAAAATGCTTAAGACATCCATGCTTGTAGTTCAGATTGCCTCTCAGAAAAATTCTTTAAAAAAATTTAAGATAGAACCTTAGAAAATTTCTTTTAAAAAACCATACCCTTAGTTCAAACAAGACCATAGAAAAATTCTAAAAAATAAATGTTTATAGTTCTCCGATAGCCCTTTAAAAATCCGCGCTTATGGTCCTTACGAAAAATCTTGAAATTCACGTCTACAGGTGACATTCTACGTTTATTATATGTGGTACCATAGTTGGGGAGTGAGCTCCGAGAACTATTAAATCACTGATGCACAAAATATTACCACAGCGTTTATGGTTAAACAACCCATATTCTCTTTGTTATTTGTGGTTTGAAATTCACGACTACAAGTGTCATTCTACGCTTATTATATATTATACGCCACTTTGTGAGCTCCTATTGCATATAAAATAGGTGCTCACAATAATCACATTGAAACCATTAATACACCAATGACGTGGAAACTTTGGTTTATAAATTATATGAAATCAGACGGAATTATATGTGAGAGCAAAATCTATAACTTAAGGGACCCCTCTCTCATCTGTCTGGTTCTAGTTCCGCTGTATCCAAAATCAGGATGGTTTCATAGGGAATTTGGAGACATGTGAGTCGACTTAATGAGGCTGTTGAAAAGTTGCAACATGTAGTGTGGCTCCAGTATACATGCGGCGGATGTGTAAGGTATCGAGACATCAATTCGAAACAAATTGAGTTGGTTGCGCCACGTAGTACGTTGCTGGTGCTAAGAAAACTCAGGTGTCAGCAAAACCAACTATCCCCCCTTTTTGGGGATAGTTTGTAATCGGAATCTGCTCTCCATCGGCCATTATATTTAGCGAAAGCTTCGTTTCAGCCCCTTAAAGTGTTTGACCCTGGAGGATATTTTCATATTGCTCAGAACAATTATCATCTCACATATGCCATCAATAATAGGACCCGACGTTAAGATCGTACAAAAACAACAATAAATAAGTTGTTTAAGAGACGGCTCTGTTAAGCAGACATTGTAAAACTACAGACGAGTTATACAAATCCATTGGTTTTCCACAATTCTGATGAATTTCATCGGGCAAGAACTCATAATGCACCACCGGAATTGCAGTCGAAGAAAGCAGTGATCAAAACCTTCAGATTTGACCGAACTTTATGTGTCATTTTCGGTCTCTTCTGGACGTTTCCAAACTCAAAAATTTAACTTGAACCTGACTTGAAAGCCTGAGATTTAAACCCTGGTTCGGCATGGCATCTCTCAGGCACCATAGCGTTCAAAGCACAATATGCAGTTTTATACCATGGAAGAAGAATATTGTAAGTTGTATGAATGAAAAGTCTGTCACTACAAGAAAAATCTGCTCAGAGAAGGGATGTTCTGGTGTGATGACAAATGTTTAACTTTGATACGTTTGAATTTAATTTGTCGATATAAATACAACATATCAAGTATCGACCTTTGTAAATCCCATGAGTCGCTTAATCAACGGTGAAATAGGTCACATAATGGTGGGAATGTAGTATGTCTCTAGTACCATCCGACTATACTGCTCCACTGCAATATTTTAGAATTATCCTACCGAATTTGGGTCAAAATAACAACACGATAACAACGATGTTCTTTTGCCGGTCACCACCATCCACCCCCTCCATATATATTTCATCGTTATCATGTTATCAACAGTTGTCTGTGTGGTGTTCACAAAAACTGATTTCAAATAAGAAAACATATTTACCTTATACTGCTTATATCTGGTTAGCATGTTCGACCATTGTTTACGAACAAAAAACACATTGAAATCATCCAATTTAGCAACACTTAAAACTTTTCTGCATTAAAAAAAAAAATAAATGGAAACATTATTTTCAAACTAAAAACACCTCAAGGAAAACAACGTGTTCGACTTACTTCCAAGGCACTACACTGTTGCTGGGTTTGTTATTAAACCACGAATCATAATTGATGCGGGCCTCAACCAATTTACGTTTTTGTTCAATTGTCCCTGGAAAAGGAGTGGAAAATAGGGTTTTATTTTTCTTCTTCTTTTATGTTTCATTTCTACTTACATTTCTTGGAGGCTCTACGCTTGGCATAGGAATGCAATTCCATATTATTTTCCCTTCCAAATGTTGTTGCAGTTTCTTATTATGTTCTAATGCAGGCCGTGCTGGGGATTCTTTTGCTCGTTCTTGTTTGGTTTTTATTCGCTTAGACAGACATTATCAATAGTTGTTGTTGTGGTGGATTTTGTTTGTTTTTTTGTTAATATATGTATGGATTTGTTTATTTTGTACTTTTAATATTGTTTTTTATTGATGGTGGAGAACAGCAGCGATTTTATTCCGTCGTCATCATTAATGCCTGTTGTCTGCTAACAGCGACAAATGGAATTGTGTGTTCTCATCATGCCTTTATCACATTTTTTCATTTTGAGGTTAATTTTTGTTCTTCAATTCAATTGAGTGCTTGCGTGTGCAAGTGTGTGCGTGTGTGTGGGAGCACAAGAGTATTCTTCCTCTTTATCTGAGAGCGTAACTTTGCATTTGTTTACATTTTGTTGTTTTTGTTTGCCAGCTAAAATTAATAATATGGTAGCTCTCTCTCACTTTGTCTCTCATTGAACAGCTGTTTTTGATTTCTCTTTTGTTTTCTCTGTTTCTCGTAGAGATGTGTTGTTATTTTGATTTACTTTGTTATCGATAGTATTTATAATCGATATAATAAAAACCATATGTAGTTATTAGCCTTTAACGTAAATTATGTTTTTAATTTAATTTTAAATATATTGTTTTTTGTAATAAATTATAACATTTAATTTAAATTTAAATATAAATATTAATTTATTTGTTTTTTTATTTTTCTTTCTTTTCTTTATATGGCCACACAAAACAAAACTCATAAATGTGATGCTTTTATTTTATCAATATATTTTAATTATTGTTTATGCCACAAATATATATATTAAAGTACCACCGATAATAATGCATGCAATGGTCATGTTGATGAACACATTAATACAAAAGAGGAAGAAGTCTATCAAGATTTGTGTGCTTTACAAAGAACGAGTAGAAGTCAGGTATTATAATTTTTAATTTATTTTATTATTTTAATTTTTAATTAAAAAAAAAAACATATAAATGTGTCATGCAATCCATAAATATTTAGTGGCACGTCTTAAATGTCTTTGACACCATTTGCCCACATTACCGTTATTAATATTATGATTTCGCAAATTCCCCCTATCCCTTAGATTACATCGGCCACCAGTTTTGAACAACGTGATTATGTTATACGCGAACTAATCGATACAGAATCGAATTATTTGGATGTTCTAAATGCTTTAAAAATGAAATTTATGGCACCATTGGAAAGATATCTAACACCCGATGATATCAAACAAATATTTCCACGTATAAAGGTAAGTACGAATTTCAGATTCCATTATATTCCTCGCCATTTTATTCTATTTAAATAAATTTCTATGATATGTTTTTTTCTACAGGAATTGGCCGATATCCACACAAAGTTTTTGGATAAATTAAGAGATTCCTTACAGCCGCATGCCAAAATGAAAATGGGTCAAGTGTTTTTGGAATTCCGCGAGCCCTTCCTAATCTATGGTGAATACTGTTCATGCCTGTTGGGAGCAATTGATTTTTTGGCCGATATTTGTAAAAAGAATCAAATCATAGAACAATTAGTACAGGTAAATATATAAATTATATAAAATTGTATGTGGAGATGTTTATTAACTGCTCCTTGTTGACCACACCCCCTTTAATGTTATCCTGATTCAGTATCTCTATGAAACTCCATATGAATACTCCATAACTATTTTGTTTCCTTCAAAAGAATCCTCCTCATAAATAATACACTTTGACCCCAGAAGTGTATATTTAGGGAACTCGGTCATTTCCCCCTAGACTCTCCCCCAGGACCCTATGAGTGTTCTCGACTGTTTATTTAAATTCACAGCTACCCAATAAATAATATTGGACTTGTCTTCCCAGCTCTGCTCTGGATTTGGAGTTCTAAAATATTAATGTTCGCATTGTTGTAGCTGTAAATAACTTCGTCAATTGATTCACTAAAGCATATCCTGCATACCGGTTGAGATATTTTACCAGGCTAGGTGGCTGGGCAAGAAGTCTTATAGGAACTCAGGAGAGTCTCAGTTATTTAGCCCACTCCATTCTCAAAATCCTTAGCGGTTTTGAGATTATTTTGATCGAACGGAATAACGATGAATTTGTCCTAGTTCATCATCCTCGAATTCCTAAAAGGCATCTGCTTATGTAAGCTTACAAAAAAAGTCTTTAAAAATTTGGTCCTAAAAAAACATTTCAAAAAATCTTCCTAAAAAGACATCGTGTTCTTCTTTTACGTTTCACAATTTATTACTGCATATTTTTCTAATTATTATTCTTGTTGTTGTCGTCTTTCTAATCTTTTCCATTCATTTATATTCCAGCAATGTGAACGTGAATACAATGTGGGCAAATTGCAATTAAGGGACATTTTATCAGTACCCATGCAGCGTATTTTAAAATATCATTTACTATTAGACAAATTAGTTAAGGAAACATCACCGGTAAGTAGGCAAATATTTCGAATTTTTAATAATTTTGTTGTTATTTAAATATCTTATCATTATTGTGTATAATTAAAGGCTCACGAAGACTATCGGTCGCTGGAAAGAGCTAAAGAGGCCATGATTGATGTATCACAATATATAAATGAAGTTAAAAGGGATTCCGATCATTTGGTTATTATACAAAAAGTTAAGGTATGGTATCAGCAATTTATTTCCTTTTGGTTTCTATTTTCACAATTTTGTTCGTTATTGTCATTTCAGGACAGCATAATTGATTTACATTTACTACAAAATGGCAATGATCTGTTACAATACGGCCGGCTATTGCTCGACGGAGAGTTGCATATCAAGGCCCATGAAGATCAAAAAACCAAACTGCGTTACGCTTTTGTTTTCGATAAAATTCTAATTTTAGTTAAGCCATCGCATATGAAAACGGGCGATATGCAATACACATTCCGTGATTCACACAACTTAGCTGAATATCAAGTGGAACAGAGTCATTCGCGGCGTACCATTGGTCGTGATTCACGTTTTAAATATCAGCTGCTGTTGGCTCGTAAATCGGGCAAAACCGCATTTACATTGTACTTGAAATCGGAACCTGAACGTGATAAATGGCGTAAAGCCTTAACCGAAGCAATGTGAGTGGTATACAAGTGAAATTTTTATTCGTTTATGTTACAGAAATAATGTGGAGAAAATGTTTGATTTTTTAAATAGGGAAAACTTAGATCCACCCGGCTGTCGCAACACGGACCACAAAATGGAAATTTTCACCTTTGATGCACCCACAACCTGTCGACATTGTTCGAAATTTTTAAAGGGTCGCATACATCAGGTAGGCGTTTTTTTCTTTGAAACCATCTGTTGGAGATGACGTTGTAAAAAATGATTTTTATTTTATTTGTTACAGGGCTATCGCTGCAAAGTCTGTGAGATTGCTGTTCACAAAGGTTGCATATCATCAACGGGTCGCTGTAAACAAAATGTTGTTGCCATACCACCACCAGTTTGTGATAGACAATTGGCTCAATTTAATTGGTAAGACGATACTGAATATAAATATTTGATTAGAGAACCGAAGTTCATGTCTTTAGAATGTTGTCCATTTGTAAAAGACCGTTAGAAGTTATATACTCTATATATCAAATATATTATTTATACAAAAGACCAATTAATAGAAGACATTTAGAGCTTATGATATTGGTAAAAGATTTCTAAAAGATTTTTTATCGCCAAAAAAGTATCCATGTTTAGTAGAAGGCATTATATCCAAGGAACTTCATTGAAAAAATTGCCTATATAAAATATGTTTACAAGTCTCACCACAGACCTTTAAAGGATCTTCTATCCATAGAAGACCTTTAAAGGATTTTTTAGAATAGAATACCATTTAAGACTCTTGTGGGACTTAAGGCTTGTGACAGAACGGTTCAAGCGCGTCGATCTTGTACTCATCTCATCCTATTTGAAAGACCATGTTCCGAGATGTTGTTTTCTACTTGATCTTTCCATCGGATTCGTGTCTTCTACTTTATCTTTCCATCGGATTCGTGGCCTTCCCCTTCTGCGTGAACCATAGCTTGGCTCGCTTTTATATGCCTTTTGAGTGGGGGAATCCTCATCCATTCTAACAGCATGACGTAACCAACGTATTCATTGCAGCTCGATCCGTCTGACTATGTCGATGTTCCAGAATCGATTCGACGATCTTCAGGAGAATTTTTCTCTCAAACACACTAAGATATGCTTGCGCAAGTACCCATGCTTCAGATCCATACAATTTATGTGAGTTTGGCCTAGGGAGAGGTGGCCTTGCTTTGAGTTGCCATGGTTCATTCGACGATCTTCCGGAGATTTTTTCTCTCAACAAACCAAGAGCTTCCTGATCTGCTTGCGCAAGTACCCATGCGTTTTGTAGAGTGTGAGTTTGGCCTAGGGAGAGGTGGCCTTGTTTTTGAGTTGCTTACTCAGACCATAGTAGCATATGATGGCCAGCACTATTCTCCTCCGGATTTCAAAGCTAATGTTGACAGTTTTGTTTATGGCGGTAAACAAAACTACTTCGAAGCTGTACTTTTCAAGTTCCACAGTTGGTCCGACGTCTTGCGCGTTGGTACCAGACCGTTTTAATAGAATCCTTCTTCAAAGGTGGCTATTACCGCTCGCAATGCTAAGCTAACCTTCAGCTCTTCTACAAAGCTCTTGAGCTCTTCTATAAAGAAACCGATCTTTAGATCTTCTATAGAGGTTCAAAGGTATTTTGAGAATAAATCTTTAAAGCTCGTCTATGGCCAGGAAATGTTTACGGATGTATTTTATCTACAGAAAAGTTTGTGAAGGACCGCTCCACAGCACTATGGTTTTTTTTACGTTTATTTTGGCATAAACTCTAATTTTAAAGCTGTTGAATTGAAATTTGGGTTGTATACATTTTTTATGCTCCCAAGATGACCTACCAATTTTCATATGATTTGGGGCACTATTTCATATAGCTGCTATATAGCCGATCTGGCCGATTTGTCCCGAGTTCTTTGTTTATAAAGCTATTGAAGTGAAATTTGGTTTGTATTCAATTTTTATGCTCCGAAGATGACCTATCTATTTCATATGATTTGGGGCACTATTTCATATAACTGCATATAACAAAATGTTTGTTCCTTACTTCGGCTATATTTCCATTACTGACTGCTTTATTCAAAACAAAGGCCATGTCTCTGTCGTTGAATATTTTGGCTGAAACCGTAGCAGCAATGATATAGCATATTTTGTGAAGAAACTTCGGAGGCTAATTTCCTTTTTAGCCTAGGTCCAGCATGTTCATAATTTAATTTTGGGCGACCTATTTTGTTTGGGGAAACATACTGCTCATCCATTACTATAATTATACTTTTACGGTTGAACTTTGGCAAATGCTTTTTTTATGTAACTATCAAAATCTTTATGCCAAAAAATCATACTTTTTACCCATAGTGCACAGTTTGAAGTCAGCAGTGGCTAAAGGGATTCCTGTAAAACCTTATCAGTTGGTCCGACATTTGTCAGCTCACTAAAGATTTTCCCCCTATTTGCTGCAGACCCGATTCCGGTCTTCTTGTTTCGTACATGCCATCGGATTTGCTTGGCTTATTCTTAGTCGCCGTCGAGGTTTCATAATAACTTGGATATATGTTGGTTCTTATATTCTTTGTAAGCGATAGAATGTTTACTACCAATAAAAACTTTTATAGAGTATCGTGTCCATTGAAGACCCGTAAAAGGTCTTCTACACATAGAGAACCTCTAAAGCACTTTTATCCACAGAATACATCTAAAATGTCTCCTATTCACAGCTAGACGTTATTCTATTTAGAGACTAATTTTAGAAGATATCATTTTGCAAATCGTTCGACTTTGGCGGCGAAGGTTCCTGCAGATTCATACGGGAACGAAAGTTTACTGCTTTTGCATCAGGTTGCTATTCATCAGTCCACCTCAACCACTTGATTTCCACAGGCTGTGAGGTGGATTCCTGCCATATTGTTCGCACTTGCCATCGGTTTTGTTTCTGTATTGGGTGTTAATCGTAGTCGCTACCATGGTAGATGTATCGACAGGGGTACATGGGAATTATGTGGGTCTTCTTTTTATAGAAAATTGATCTTTAGTATTATAGTCAATTTATAATACTAATACCTTCCACCATTAAAAATCAAATATACTCTTTGTTTAGAAGTTTTGCGGAATGTAGTTCACATTTTCCATACCTCTTTTCAATAATTTGTTGCAGTATTAATAAAAAAATATTCATTTTTATTTTATAAAATTTCTAATGTAAATATTTTTTAATTATTATTTTTAGGTTTGTCGGCAATATGGATAGAGAAACGGCACAAGCTAGACTCGAACATCGTCGTGTTGGCACATACCTGTTGAGAGTAAGGCCACAAGGTGCATCAAATCCCAAAGAAACAATGTATGCTTTAAGTTTAAAGTAAGTTTATAAAAAAGAGTCGAAAAAATTGCATTAAAAAGGAAGCTGTTTTCATTCGCAGCCGCATTCAGTTTTCTTTTATCTCAATTCAGTTCCATATTCCACCTCTAAAAATACGTTTGTTTTTCCCATTCTTACCTTTAGAACCGACGATAATGTCATTAAACATATGAAAATAAATCAAGATCATTCGGGTGATAGTGTCGCATATTGTCTCTCATCGAGGCGACATTTTAAAAATATTGTCGAACTGGTATCATATTATGAGCGCAATGATTTAGGTGAAAATTTTGCTGGGTAAGTTAAAAAGGTTTTTTTACGTCATTCAATTGTAGCATCTATATTGAGTTGTATTTCTTTCATGCAGTTTAAATCAATCCCTACAATGGCCATATCGTGAAGTTTTAGCTACGGCCATATATGATTTTGAACCCAAAGGCAATAATCAGTTGGCACTTAAAACCGGTTGTCAGGTATTGGTAATCGGTAAAGATGGTGACAATAAAGGTTGGTGGCGGGGTAAAATTGGAGATACGGTAAGTTTGATTTTTGTGTTGATTTTAACATTACTTGGTTTATGGTCTTAAATGGCATAAATTTTGAAATATTTACAAATCGCAATTACTTTTTTTAAAATTGTATTATTGGAAAAAATATACTTAACATTTCAATACTATGTGGTCATGTGTTTTTGATTTTTTGAAAGACAGTTTTGACTTAGTCTTCTTTACTAATAATTTTTATTAAAATTCAATTATAGATATGCAGGAAATTTCGATTCAAACTTCTTTATAAACTAAACATCAGCATTCTGCTTCTTAACCGCAGAGGCTGCTATTCCATTAGAAAGGATTTTCTATCCAAGAATACCTTTAAAGGTTCTTCTATCCGTAGACCTGAATTCATAAGACGCATCTGTCGATGGATGATCTTTAAAAACTCATATATTCATAAAATACTTTTAAATGCTATTCTATCCACAGAAGACCTTTATAGGCATTTCAATCAATAAAGGCTCTTTGGTCAATACAAAAAAATGAAGGCTCTTCTTTTTATAGAAGGACCTTTAAGGGCTCTTTCATACATAAAAAAATTTAAAAGATATTTTATACATAGAAATCATTTGATGGACTCAGACAAAGCCTTTAAAGGTTATTCTATACATAGAGCTTGAAAGGGTCATCTATCTATCCATAGACTTATAGTTTGGTCAGGAAATTTCTTTACATTTGAAGATCAGACTTCTGCTCCTCAACCGCAGAGATTGTATTTACATTAAAATAAGATGTGACAACAGCGCAGAAATGACAATCCCACTCAGGATCTCCCCTACGGTTACAACCTTTAGTATTCCACTCTGTCAAAGGGGTTCAATATTACTTAATCTCTTAATAATGAGCCACAGAGTCTATATTCCCGCAGATGATAACTTTGACCCTTTATACCAAACTATACATTGCTTTACCTTGGCGTAGAGGAAGATGATCTTGATAATTGCCGAAACATTAATCTGGATTAGACTTATCAAAGCCTAAACACTTGGTCAATCTTAAAACTACCTGTGTGACGCTGACGGCGTATACGGGTGATTGAATGGTTCGTAGCGATTATGAGCAGCAGTTCCTCAATCTATCTTACACTCTTCATAACCACAAGCAGTGAGAATTTTGTTTTCATAGATTTGTTTTCCTTAGGAACAGCAGGCACTGGAGTCGATGCATATACGCTTCATATCTTCTTGCTCGGACTTGCCATGAGTTTTGCATCAATACATTGGATATCCTTAGTCGCAACCTTGATAGAGATCTCGACCAATGTAGGCTATATGAAAATTTTGCCGACTAGGAGTTCCCTCGAATCCTTGTTCGGATAGTCTCTTTCGTTCTTCCTCATGGGTTGAAATCACTTCTTGGTTGCTAGCATCGGTAGCGGGATTTTCAAAGTAGCTGTTTGCCTTTGTAACAACAGCATGCCGACACTAGTCGACAAATGGGATGTGATAACCAGCATTTCCCTATAAATAAAGTAATGAAAAATGTTAGTTGCCAGCTCCCAATTCAATCTAGAAATCTTTTTTCTGGTTCGTCTTTTTTCTGGTTCTGTTTCACTTTATATGATTTTCCAGAATACAGCCGATGTACAAGACTTTCAAACATTGTTTTAATGAGACAACGAATATATAGAGGTTGTGTTTTCTTCTTTCGCCTCTCTGGAGCCCTAAAAAAATATTTTAGAACTCCACACCTCTCCGCAAGGCTAGAAAAAAAGTCCACACCTTTTCTGAAGGCTAGAAAAAAATATTTTTAAAGCCAACGCCTCTTCTGAAGGCTAGAAAAAAAAAATATTTCAAAAATCTACGCCTCTTTAGGAGACCAGAAAAATATATTTTAAAAATCCCCGCTTTTTGTGGAGCTTAGAAAAATATGTTAAAAATCCACGTCTCTCATGGAACCAAAAAAAAAAAATTTAAAAATACTCCCCTCTTATGGAGCTTAGAAAAAATACAAAAAAAAATCCAAGCCTCTTTTAGAGACCAGAAAAAAATTTAAAAATTCCATTTTATGGAGCTTAGAAAACATATTTTAAAAATTCACGCCTCTTATGAAGGCTGGAAAAAATGTTTTAAAAATCTGGAAAGGCTGGAAAAAATGTTTTAAAAATCTGGAAAGGCTGGGAAAAATGTATTAAAAATCTGGAAAGGCTGGAAAAATTTTTTTAAAAATCCACGCCTCTTATGAAGGCTGGAAAAAATGTTTTAAAAATTCACGCCTCTCACGAAGGCTGGAAAAATGTTTTAAAAATCCACGCCTGTCATGGAAACCACAAAACATTTAAATATTCTCAAATCTTATGAAGACTGGAAAAAATGTTTTAAAAATCCACGCCTGTCATGGAAACCACAAAACATTTAAATATTCTCAAATCTTATGAAGACTGGAAAAAATGTTTTAAAAATCCACGCCTCTTATAAAGGCTGGAAAAATGTTTTAAAAATCCACGCCTCTCATGGAAACCAGAAAACATTTTTAAATATCCTCACCTCTTATGAAGGGTAGAAAAATGAAATGAAAATCCACGCCTCTCATAGAATCCAGAAACAAATATTTTAAAAATTCACTTTTCGATGCGTCAAATATATAGAAAGTTTGACGAAAGATCTTCCCGAAGTTTGAGTATTTTTTGCTAAATTTTCGACAGGAGGGAAAACAATTTTAATTTTTGGTCTCAATCCCCAATTCACATCATATAAATGTGGTTTTTGCGTTTGTCTCTATTTGTGTTCAATAACCACAGAACATAGTTTTAATCCTTTCTCTCAGGAGTGGCAGATCTGTTCTTGGCGGTTTTTTAACTGGTTTCAATGTGTCCATATAGAAAATTGCAAATTAATTTTTATTTTTCGAAAACAAATTTCAAATTAATTTTTTTCTTCTTTTTTCAGGTTGGCTACTTTCCCAAAGAATACGTTCAGGAGCATCCACCCACCAACGATGAACTTTGATATTACAATTATGAAATCGATTTTTCCCGCAGTAAATTGGAACGTTCTCAGCAAATGAGAAATTCGCTAACCATGAATTTTTGTAAAGAATTATCTTTAGATCTGGGACAAAATGTACCAGCCACACCACCGCATACCAGGCAACTAACCATTGTTGGACAATTTGAACAGAAATTGCAATTGCCACAAGAACATCATGATCAGTTGGTGGATGCGGATGCAAAGCCACAACAACAACAAGAAATTATTGTAACTGAGAGTCAGTAAATTTACAACAAAATATATATAGTATAAAAAAAAAAAACAACTGACAAAATTTGAATTGTGAAATGGCAATGATGGTGATTCGAATTTTGGAATACTATATAGAATATAATTAAATTATATAATGGAAACATTTATCTGTGTTATATTTCAATTCAATGGAAATATAACACAGAAATATGTTCCGAAATTCATCATGAATATCACCATACTTTGGAGCATTACAAAAATATATATACATATATTCAATTGAAAACAAATACTAATAAAAATTATTAAAAAAACAAGAAAAATACTTTGAAATTGTAAATTATTAAAAAATTATGTTTTATTTTGCGTTAGATTATATGCTCAAAGTAATATGTTTTTTTATTTTGTTAAAAAAAAATTAAAGTTCAAATCACAGTCAAAAACTTTGTTAATTATGTTAATTTTATTTGTTACATAAAGTGCCAATATATATACCTAACAAAATATATTTACACACACACATACACGTAATTATATATAACTATTTTAGCTCGATTATATTCTTCTATTCAATTTGTTTTATGTTATTTCAAAAATCATCTTCTGTTTTGTTAGTTATTCGAGTTTTGTATTTTTATTTTCATTTTAACTAAAACTACTTGCTGAATACTAGTTATACAAACATAAAAAAAAATTGGAAAATTTAAACTAAACATAACCTAAAATATATATTTTTTGAAGGTATTAAGAAAAACTAAAACTGAAAAATACAAAATAAATAAAAAAAAAAATAATAATAATGAAACATATGTGCAGCTTTAATATATAACAAACAAATTATATACATATATAATGAAAATAATTAGACTTTTTAAGAATTGAATACCGTATATATACAAACATTTTTACACACACAAACACCTCAAAATTACATACATCCCCGATTAAACAATAGTAATATAGAAAGAAATATATTTAGTTTTTAACGAAACTCAAATAAAAGAACAAAAAGAATAAAATATATAAATAAACTTAAGTATATCAATATTTTATTACACAAAATTAAAAAAAAAAAACACAATAATATATCATCGAATTTAGTTTACAGAATATTCAAATATATCAGGCATATTCAAGATTTCGAGCCTAAAAATATTTAGAGTCTATAAAAAATATTTCAAAAATCCCCGGCTCCTCTATAGCCTATAAATAATATTTTAAAAATCAATGCATCTTATGGAGCTAAGAAAAAATTATAAATCCACGCGTCTTATGGAGCTAATAAAAAATATTGTTAAAACCCACGCCTATTATGGAGCTAAGAAAAAAATATTTTATAAACTCACGCCTCCTATAGAACCCAGAAAAAATATTTAAAAAGCTTTTATGGAGCTTGGAAAAAAATATTTAAAATAATGCTTCAAATAATTATTTTTCATTTTTTTGGATGCTAGAAAAAATATTTTAAAAATTCACGCCTCTTTTGGGCTTAGAAAAATATTTCAAAAATCAGGCCTGGAGGCTAGATAAACATATTTTAAAAATGAAAGTCTCTTAGGGAGGTAAGAAAAATATTTCAAAATCCACGTCCTTATAGAGACTAGAAAAAGATATTCTAGAAATCCACACTCTTATGGAGGATAGATTTTTTTCTTTTAAATTCATGCCCTTGTAGTGCTTTAAAATATTCTTTTTCATTTTTTTTTTTTTGATGCTAGAAAAAAATATTTTAAAAATCATCACATATTTCTAATATTCAGTACAGTCCTTCTAATTAGTTGTCCAGATTCCCCTCACCGTGGGTTGCGTTGTGATGTTCGGCTTATAATTGTGGCCTATCGACTCAAAAAACACAAAAAAATAATTTTTTAGTCCACTTCATCTCAAAAATTATTATCTCATCATTACCGAAAATTATAGGCTTTGTCCTTGACCATAACTGGAACTTCATGGAACACATCAAGGCAATCAGGGCTATATTTCCGCCCTCCAGTGTTGTAATGGTTTACTAAATAATATCTAAATGTGTAATCACTTTGTAAATATGTTCGTGTAACTCCCTCATCCGAGTATATACGCTATATAATAAAGATTTTGTAATTTTTCACACAAAAGTCAGGGTCCATTTGACCCGCTAAATATTGACCCCTTCTCCATGTAAAATTTCGCGATATTCAGGCCATAATTGCGGCCTCTGGAGCGACCAGAAAAACCGGCAAAAATATGTATTTTGTCCATTTCATCCCCTAAACATTAACCGATCTTTACCAAAAACAATAGGATTCTTCATTGGGCAGAAACCATCCTACATGAAAAATTTCGTGAAGATTGGTCCACAACTGTGGCCTGTATCGTGTTTACATATTATAATGGACAGACGGACGGACACACATGTCTAGATCGACTCAGCTAGTTCTAGGACCAATATTTCGCGGCGTTACAAACTCTTGGGGCTGCACAAAGCTATAATACCCTGATAACATAGTTGTGTACGGTATAAATATTTTTAAAGTCAAGGTCTCTTATGAAGGCAAGAAAAATATTTCAAAATCCACGCCCTTATAGAGACTAGAAATCCACACCTAGAAATCCACACCTCTTACGGAGGCTAGAAAAAAACATTAAAGATCCTCGCTTTTTATGGAGGCTAGAAAAAATGTTTTAAAAAATGTAAAAAAATAAGCCTCCTCTAAAGCATAGAAAAACATATTTTAAAAATTTAAGCCTCTTATGGATCCTAGAAAAACATGTTTTAAAAATCTAAGCCTCTTATAGAGCGTAGAAAAAATATGTTATATATTCATACCTCTTCTGAAGCCTTGAAAAACATATTTTAAAAATCTGCGTTTCTTATGGAGCCTCAAACAATATTCTTTAATAAATCCACGCCTCAAAAATATTCTTTAATATATCCACGCCACTTGTAGGGCCTCAAAAATATTCTTTAATATATCCACGCCACTTGTAGGGCCTCAAAAATATTCTTTAATATATCCACACCTCCTGTAGGGCTTCAAAAAATATTCATTAATAAATCCACGCCTCAAAAATATTCTTTAATATATCCACGCCACTTGTAGGGCCTCAAAAATATACTTTAATATATACACTCCTCCTGTAGGGCCTCAAAAAATATTCATTAATAAATCCATGCCTCCTCAAGAGCCTCATAAAACGTTCTTTAATAAATCCACGCCTCATATAGAGTCTCAAAAAACGTTCTTTAATAAATCCACGCCTCCTGTAGGGCATCAAAAAACGTTCTTTAATAAATCCGCGCCTCCTGTAGGGCCTTAAAAAATATTCATTAATAAATCCATGCCTCCTCAAGAGCCTCAAAAATATTTTTTAATATATCCACGCCTCCTGTAGGGCATCAAAAAATATTCATTGATAAATCCGTGCCTCCTCAAGAGCCTCAAAAATATTCTTTTTTTATCCTCGCCTCCTGCAGGGCCTCAAAAAATATTCATTAATCAGCCTTATTCTGGATATTCGCTGGGAGATATCTCGCATATAAAAAATTTTTCGCTTTCACATTCTCGCCTTATTCTGAATGAATAGGGAGACGCAAAAAATGCGAGATGCTGATTCGAGTTTTCGAAAATGGTGGTTGAAAAATAGATTTGTGTTGCCATATTGTAATTTAAGTTGTAATGTGTGTGGCCATATTGTAATTTAAGTTGCAATGTGTGTTGCCCCATTGTAATTTAATTGTGTAATATTTTTCAATATTTCATTTTCTTGATTTTTTTATTAAAAATGTTTACTTTTTATTGTTATTTAAACTATATAACAATAAAAATGTGAAATATCAATAATCTGCTGTATAAATGCTTTGTAATTAAAAGAAAATAAATTAAAGTTTAAAAATATGGCAACCTACAATATGGCATGTGAAACAGCTGTTCATTGTTTTGATGCAATTTGATGCAACAACTACAACTGAGAATACAACAACGAATAATGGAAAGAAATCTGCGATTGAATTAATTAATTCAGTTTATTATTTCACTACCTAATTGTGTGCCTTTTTATTTAATTTCGATATTTATTTCCCCAGATTCTTAAAATGGCCTGTTATTTTATGATTTGCTCCTACTCCTTTATTTCTTCCGTCAAATCATGCACACGATAATTAAAACAAAAAAATATTTTTTGTTCTTTCATAATTTTTATTTAAGTTTTTCACTGTTAAGCGGCTAATCAGGCAAATTTGGGTTTTCCATAATTTTTAAAATTTTTTTCTTGAGAGACAGATCCTCACCCAAAATGTCTGTATTTCGCCTCTAAAAATCAAAGTCGACTTAAATATTCCTTATTACCTTTATACATTTCTTGGCAATACTTGCTTCAGCATGCATCGTTATCAATAGGATTTCCAATGGCATTTTATTGGTTGTTTTCCAGTTAAAAATTTGCTTACTATCATTTATAATATTCTAAATCGTCATAGAATAAGTATTGTGTAAATATTTTTCATAAAAATAGTTATTACTTATGTTTTTGTAGTCAACTCCCCTTAAATTTATTAGCGAAAATTTTCGCACAAAATTTCCTACTCCCTGTAATTCAGAATACCTAATTTTTCCCCAAAGCGGATTTTTTCGCTTTCGAACTTCATTCAGAATAAGGCGAAAGCGAGAATGCGAAAAAATTCACTGGAAAATGTTGTTCAGAATAAGGCGAAGGGAAAGAGCGAGTAAATTCACATGGAATTGACATCCAGAATAAGGCTGAATATATCCACGCCTACTGTAGGGCATCAAAAAATATTCATTGATAAATCCGTGCCTCCTCAAGAGCCTCAAAAATATTCTTTATTTATCCACGCCTCCTGCAGGGTCTCAAAAAATATTAATTAATAAATCCACGCCTCATATAGAGTCTCAAAAA